TCATGTGTCTTTTAAGTAGAAAATAGAAGAGAGAAAAAATGGATGGTATATAAGTGCCCCTTTTTTCAGGGTTCCTTACAGGGAATCCTTACCTTGCCTTTTTCCCTCCTTCGTCCTTCTCCCTTCCAAATTTTCCCAGTGAATGTGAACCTCACAAATGAGGCAGTGCCGTTCCCCCAGTTTTTGCGCCAGACTCAATCTTCAGCAAGGATCCGTTTTGGAAGAGCATTCCAGTGATCGCCACCTATGACAGAGGAAAATGATATGTTTCGGCCCAAAAGGGTCTTGTGGGCAACACACTCAGCTCAGCCCCGCTCCTACACGGCATAATCCTGGCAAGAGACCCCAAACAGTGTGTCTAAAGGTCTGACGGGTGGCGGTGGTGGTGGTGGTGGTGGCGATGATGATGTTGACGGTGGTGATGGTGGGTGGTGACGGTGGTGGGGGTTCACATACTGCAGGCTGAAACTGCACTTCCAAGCCCAGAACGCATCCACCACGAAATCTGCTCCTCAAGGTCCACAAAGCACTGTGCCTGCCACAAAATCTCCACTTCACGGTCCACCAATACTGAGCCCGCCAAGAAATCTGCACTTCAAGGTCCACAAAGCAATTACGGCGTTTGCTAAAAACCTGCACCTCAAGGCTCACAAAGTGCCGCGCCTGCCACGAAATCTGCACTTCAAGGTCCACAAAGTACTGTGCCTGCCACGAAATCCACACGCCAAGGTCTACAAAGTGTTGCGCCTGCCGCGAAGCCTGCACTTCAAATCTGCACCTCAAGGTCGACAAAGCACCGCGCCTGACACGAAATCTGTATAAAATCAAGATTCACAGCGGGCAGCCCTGCCAGCGATTCGCAGCGGGAGTAAACACAACATCAAGAGACACCAAAACGCAGCTTTCGCTCGAGACATCCTCCGATTTCTGAAAACGAACCACATGTCCAAAAGTCACGATTAACTGCACCTGCCACAAAATCAGAGCACGCCAAAGACCACCACCACATCAAAAATACTGCGCCCGCCGCGACATCTGCACATCGACGCAAAACCGCTCCGATCTCTTGCACCTGTCACGAAAAGTTGACTTTGGACCACCAAAACACGAGGTTTTCCTTGTACCTGCCACGAAAAGCGATCACCTAGCCCTAGCCTGAAAACGTGCACGGCACCACAACGCGCAGTCTCTTACCGTAAGAACCCCTAGTGTTACCACATTGTTTGGGGAAAATGACGCTCCAAAGATCATGGCATGGAGAATGGAATTAATAGATTTAACTCACGATATAGTCCAACCATATCTAACCGTGTTGTGGAGGGTGTGGGCCTGTGGGTGCCTTCAAAAGTTGCAAGCACATCCAAATGGAAACGGGCGGGTGTCCCAACCAGACACAGGGCAGGGAAAAATATGCTGCAACGTCTATGAAGAGCTGGTGTGTGTGTGTGTCACACTCTGTATCTAAGAGTTTTCCTCGTTTTGTTCCAGCAGGGGAGACACCTGTATTGCTTCTCCATCAACGAAGCTGGCAATACATGGTGAGGATATCAGTTCCGGACGCGGAACTGACGTACCTGCTTTCAACACACTGACACCAATGGGCCACCCTGCCGCTGTTTCGTTGTTTCCATGGTTGTTCTTCATGATACTTTCCCTAAAACCGATTTCCTTCAGCAGTCGTCCGCAGACTTGCAACAACTTTGAAGCCGCGTTTGTCGAGTGCGATTGGAAACCATGTTAAACCATACTGTTCCAGCTGACCTTTCCACCTTGCGGTTCTTCGCCTTCCTTCCACCTGGGAACTGAGTTAACTGAAAACCAATGTCAGAGTGTGATTCGCTCAGTCGTCCCACTTGGGTGCTGGGTGTGATCCTCCGCAAGGAGGCGCTGTTCTCATGCCGGAAATCGTGTAACTGCTTCCCTTTTCCACCAAACCTTGGATTCTCTTAGCCGCTTCCTTTTCACTACTGGATCGACTGCTTCACCAGCCGCCGGGCTTTCACGGAGAATAAACCCCAACGCGTTTTCTCCCCCAAACACCCCCACCCCCCCCCCCCACTAATTAGGGTAACAGAGGGAAATGGTACTCGACACACTTGTGTGTCGGTGCCTTTCCCTCTGTTGTCCCTTTTCTAGTCTACTCCACCCGGGCGGTTTAAGACTAAAGTCCCGCTCCCTAACTATTGCACTTAATTCATTTCTGCTAAGTAATCAGTAACTCTAGAGTGCTAAGTATTCAGACACAAACATGTACACACACATTGACATACACCCCCTCCCTGCCCCCCGCTTTCCTTCTTGCGGTTTTCGTCGTTTGTTGGGTTTTCTTTCAGGCTTTTTAGGTGATTCTTGAGGTTCGTTTCCCTACCCCAGTCAAGGGCTAAGTATTCACCTGTTTCTACACCTATCTTTCTCTCCTGCCCTTTTAGCGCTGCTCTTTCTGTTTTTCTTTCTTTCTTTTCTAAGGCTTTTTAGGTGCCTATTTAGGTTTTCATGCCAGAGCGCCGCAAAGCGGCGGAGTGTGTGTGTCACACTCTGTATCTAAGAGTTTTCCTCGTTTTGTTCCAGCAGGGGAGACACCTGTATTGCTTCTCCATCAACGAAGCTGGCAATACATGGTGAGGATATCAGTTCCGGACGCGGAACTGACGTACCTGCTTTCAACACACTGACACCAATGGTCCACCCTGCCGCTGTTTCGTTGTTTCCATGGTTGTTCTTCATGATACTTTCCCTAAAACCGGTTTCCTTCAGCAGCCGTCCGCAGACTTGCAACAACTTTGAAGCCGCGTTTTTCGAGTGCGATTGGAAACCATGTTAAACCATACTGTTCCAGCTGACCTGTTGCGGTTCTTCGCCTTCCTTCCACCTGGGAACTGAGTTAACTGAAAACCAATGTCAGAGTGTGTGTGTGTGTGTGTTCAACGTGGCTTGAATTCACTAGTCTGGCATTCTGCAGGTGCCAGAAATCAACCCCAATGACGTCCACAACCTTTTTGGCCAGTCGAGGACCCCGCCATTGCAAGGCGGCCGTTGGCCAGCTCCGAGTTCAACTTCCTGTCGGGTATGTCTCATGAAATTGCAGGACACCTTTCAAACTTCACACCCTGGTGCTTTGTGAAATCCAAGGAAGTTTGGATGAGAAAGCAGACGAGTGAGGAAAAGTTGCAGTCAAAAACTGCGTGACATTGCGGGAGGGAGGGAGGGAGGGAGCGAGGGAGCGAGGGAGCGAGGGAGCGAGGGAGCGAGGGAGCGAGAGAGAGAGAGAGAGAGAGAAAAAAAAGAAAAGAGAGAGAGAGAGAGGGAGAAAATAAAGAAAGAAATAAAGAAAGAAAGACAAGCACATACTACATACTTCATCATCACACTACACGTCTCGTCGCTTTACCACATGACAGATTGCCACAACAGAAATCCCCCTTTAAGTTGCAACACTTTAGAGATCACAAACTACGCTTGACATCGCTTGACTATCTCACCAATCATCGCGTCACACTTCACCACATCGCGCTTCGCCGCGTACTGCACTTCACCACATCACTACATCCCAAACACATCGGCGCATCATCTGTCACAAAGACAACCATTTAGCTTGTGTTTCCATGCATCTGCTCTGATTCACCATACAAAGGTCATGTCCAAGCACAACTGTACAAGCCAGGGGACTTACTTCAGTTAAGTGGTACCCTAGTCTAACGACTAGCGGCCAGCAGATTTCTGTCAACTTCGCCGAGGACTCCAAACGCATTCACAAAACAATCCTCCAAGTCTCACGGAGTAGACCTTCAAGAGGCAACTATTCAACAATTCCTCTGCCCATATAACAAAGAATAATTACCCAAACAAATCTGATAAAGAAAGATTCTCTCCAAAACAACGTGTCCAAAACCTTCCCGACACCCGTTCGTCACATGGCAACCCTCACCTTTTGCGGCCCTCGGCGTCGCTCATGGGGCCGCTGGCATTGGGCACGCCCAAGATGCCGGCGTTCCTGAGCAATCCCACAAACGTCAAACGGAGTCTCTCGGCAGAAAAATATCGAAGACCTTGAAGGAATGGAGATTGTTTTGGATGGAAAGGGATCGCACACACCCAAGTCGGAGACTTGTTGCTTTACTGTATTGTATCATGTTGCATGAACATAGAGATATAGTATATATACATTGTACGTTTTTTACTTGGCTTGCCAAAAAATACTCTCCATCATGACTCTGTGTAGCTCCCATGGTTGCCTCACGGTTAAAGCGCAGATGTACACAAACGTGGCTTGCCGCAGCTGAGGTTCTCATAGTCTCCAGGGTCTCGAGAATCATCTGCCCTGCGCAGGCGCGTTGCAGGCGGGCGCAAGGTGTGCCAGGTGTGCCGTGCCAGGTCTGCCAGATGCTGAAGAAAGCACCAGATACGGAATGAACTGAAAAAAAGACAGGACAGCTTTTGATGGGAAAGGACTGCATGAGCACCGAGCACCAAAGTCCTTTGCTCCACTGGGACAGAAACAGTTGACTCTGCCTGTAGAGGCCGAAGTCCACCATGCCACAGAAGAGGAAGATCTGGATCCAGCCAGTCAAAGGCACCTGACTCGAACACTTATTCTGCAAATGCAAACCCAAATGTGTTGAAAAGAATTGGCAAGTGTTCCTGTTATTCACCTATTCGTTTGTGTTGTAGGGTACTTTTGTCACACTCTCGATGCTAGCGCACAAAAGAAGCATAGGCGGCATTGATCCATTTATATGTCATGTTTGCCCAAACTGGCGACGTTGTGCTGGCGGGCTGTAAAGAAAGCTAAGGCCTGGCGAGCTACTTTGCTTGGCCATGCGACCAAAATATTCACCAGCTTCTACCGCTACCCACATCATCAAATCAATTTTCTCGGAGACAGGGGACTGTCAAACCAAGAAGAAAAGAGCCAACATGACCAGGAATTGCTTTTTCAGTCATACAAAGTGAAACAACTCGGAAACTTGGTGGAACATGTAAAGTCCGGGCGTCACCCCCAGCTAGACTGCACCCAAGATCCCAACCTTGGAGAGTGCTGCCAAGCCATTTGGAACATCAGCGAACTTGAGCCCCTTCGCAGGCCTCGGTCGGCCAACCGCGCGGGGTTCGGGCAGGTTCGCGGTGAAAACTGCACTTCGCGGGACGCACGACGGAGGGTCTGAGCAGCACGCGAGAGGTAGCCAGGGAAGCGGAAGTACTCCGGCAGGATGACTTGGTTCAACATGAACAATCACCAGAATGCGTTTCATACCAGCCAAACTCTTTCATTGAGCCATATGCCAAGCTGCAGCCCATAGTGGCGAACATCGCCACACGGCCGTTCTTCAGCTCGCTCTCCCGGCGGCGGCGAAAGGTCTTCACGTCCCCGTCCTCGCGGAGTGGTCGAGTCATCGTTGGTCAGTCTTCGGCGGCTTTGACGGATCATCTCTCTTAAGAAAAGATGTCTCACAATGTTGACAAAGAAGCATGTCCTTGGCCAAGCCCATGGGGTCGAAGTAGCCCACTGGGGCCTTCCGCGCTGTGATCAACCCCCAATCCATGAATTCTCCTTTTGCCAGGCGTAGTTGAAGAAAAACACTCTGGGAACATGCAAGTGGCAGATCCACCAGTACAAGGTCCCGCTCTCTTGAGTAAGAGGTGAATTTAAGTCTCTCTCAAGGAGTATGTACCCTCAGTCCTCTCCATCAGTCTACAGGAAGAGTGTGCTCAGTCTGTCTGTGCTGCCCACTTCTACCCCTACTGGCCATACTACAAGATCATAAGGAATGAAAGAAAACCAATTGAAACCCTCTTGAAAATCTTTAGGATGAACCCCTGGACCAGAACATCTTGAGCATCAAGCCTGGACACCAAGCTCGTTCTCGAAGGCTCTCAGAGGGGAATCGGTGTACGCTGCCCAATCCCCCCAGGCAGAGCCAGTGAGGCCATCCTGCGACAACACCGTTCGTTGCATGTTGTCTTGCGTTTCGCGCCGAGTTCGCGGCCTGGAAGACATTCAGAGGGAAAACAAGCATTAATGATCGTATTGCAATCTGTCGGGGTGACCACCATGCCAATGCAAACAATGCACGAATGGAGCACCGTTGGACTAGAAAAAACCTGTTGCCTGGCAGATGAGGCTACGCATTCTTTCCAAGAGTCCAAAGAGTAGAAAACTGTGCTGTGTTCCTTTGCAGCCCTGGTTCAGCTTTGTCTTGACAAAATTAGAGCTATATAGATGTCCAGTATGTGGACAGCGTTAAAACAATTTCAATTATGGGTTCGTCAGAGGAAGTAAGTAGTGGCATAAGTCATGTCTACAAATATGTTATATCGAGTTAACGACCACTTTGAGTGGGCATGCCCTGAAGGTACATTGTGCCTTGATACAAAACATATCCTTTGTATTCCTTTGTCGCATTCATTGTAATTAATGAAGGAAAGTGAACCGGTTCGACAAAAGTTGCAACCCATGGCTGATATGGAGCTCAAGCTGCACTCAACCATAACAGCAGCTGTGATCCCATCATGTGTCCTGAAAAAACATGCCAATGATTGCCATCATTGCCTCAGTTCTTAAAACGGAGCTGTGTTGCGCTTTGTCTCTTGAAGGAGGCTTCCAAGTTCGAACAAGGCGGAGCACTTAAACAGCTCCTAAGATCGTGTTGATCGCATACGAATTGTCTCTTGAGGGAGCACAAAGTTCTTGAACATGTCTTGCGCTGTTTGTCAAGCGTCCAAAGCTACATAAATCATTGACATCAAGACATCCACAAGAAATGTAGTCTGAGTCTCCAAGCCCTGGAGCACTGGAGACTTTGGGACGTTAGCTAGAGTCAGAGAGAGAGAGAGAGGGAGAGAAAAAAAAGAGAGAAAGAGAGAGAGAGAGAGAAAAAAAAAAAGAAAAGGATGTGTGTGTGTGTGTGTCTGATAGCTTGAGACTAAAGGCATGACATCCTTTCAAACAAGAACAAATCTAAAACAATAAAGGTTCAAAATTGGTATACTTCAGCTACCAGAGATAGCAGGGGGTCGCATGGCTAACAGCCTGGTGACCATCCCTCACTTGGCCAAAGCTCCTCACGGCCTAAGTGGTGCCCAGTCACCAGGCGCCCGTTGGCGAGTTCGGAGTTCAGCTTGCGAGTGCGTCCCTCACCAGGCACCATTGTGCTGCCGTTGGGCGCGCCCAGCACACCTCCAGGAAAACAAGGAGCCACTTCGGGAAAGTGTCTGAGACTCCACTTCCATCTGGTAAGAAAGACAAGTACCAGAGCTCCTGGGTAAAGACGCCTTGCAAATGTTTAGACAGGCAGGTGCAGGTGGAGACCGTGGATAAAAAACCGTGAGACCGGCCACACCCCAACTCTGCAAAGGAATTGTATGAAACAAACATCTCCATGTGTTTGTCATAACGATGTCCTTACAGATCATATTCTCCGAGGAGATCAACCAGGCCCACCTGCACTCTTGAAGTCGCCAGGGGAACGAGTAGGATCATAAGTGTAGATTCCCTTCTCCACCAGACCAAGGACGAGGAAGATCTGTGTCCACCCAGCTGCAGGCACCTCGTGACAACAAACCCAGGAGAGCAAGGTATGCCATGGTCCAGACTCCAAAACTGGACAAACCAAGATCGGACATGGTCAGCCTTTGCAAGAAATGTTGCTACAAGTAGTGGGAAATTGCTGGACAAAACATTTTCCTGGAAGCCATTCTTCCACTGTTTTCGCCCCCACCCTGAACTTGCATGACAGCACAACATGAGCATCCCAACCTTCCCAAGTGCTGCCAAGCCATTGGGCACATCAGCAAATTTCACCCCTTCAGTGGGAGAGCAGTATCCTGCAATCTGGTGCAAACAAAGTCACAAAGCACACCAAATTGGCAGAAAAGAAAGCACTTACTTGAAGTTCTTTACTTGAATTCTTTCTGAATCAAAGAAGCTTCAATGTGGGATACCAATGATTTGGAAAAGCAGTTTGAAGTGCAAGCCCCCTAAACAACACACAAAGTGATTTAGAAAGTTCCCTGGTTCCTGAAAACAAAAAAGAGCGCTGCATCTTTGCTGCCCATCCCCCGCTCAACTCAAGAACAATCCTGGGAAGCGGAAGTATTCCGGGACGATGTAGCCCATGGTGGCCAACATGGCCACTCGTCCTCAGCACCCAGTGGTGCAAGTGGAAGTAGCTCAGAAAAAGGCTTGAATAATGTTGAGCTTGCAGCTCAACCGGAATAGTATATATAGCTTCAGCCATGTGGTTGTGGGAAGAGTCTTCCGTGGCTCATCTTACAAGGAGGAAAGAGGAGAATGACCAACTTCGGCTGAAAATGAGGAAATGCTAGCATGCACGGTTTGGCCAAACAAAGATAGACTAGGTTGTAGACTCTGCTTGTTGACAACGATGCAGGGCCTGTTTGCTCGTGGAATCGCACAACCCCTGTCCTCTCCAAGTCCTCTCCCTCCTTCATTTAGTCCCCTACAGGATCGACAACAAAACTCACGCGACAGTGAGGAGCTTCACCAACCTTCAACGTCAAACTGATCCTCTCCCCCTCTCTCTCCCAATCTCCACCTCTCTCCTCTCTCCACCTCACAACTCGTCCAGGCGCCGTTCTTCAGCTCTGTTGCGCGGCGGCGCTTGAAGGCCTCCACGTCTCCATCCTGAAGACTGGAAAGGAAATCCGGGACGGAATGGAGGGTAATGAAGGATTTCTCATGTCTTCGAATAAGGGGGCACCCAGCCTTGGTCAGTCCAAAAGGGTCGAAGAAACCCACGGGCGCCTCAGAGGAAGAACAACTCGCATCTCATGAGGAGCTGAAAGCACTGTCTAATTTAGACAAAAATAAGGAGTGTCCTTTAATTTGGTTCTTCCTCTTTCTAATACTGCAGTTTGGCTGACGAGAGAAAGCCGTTGAGGCTCCAGGCAGTTGGCTACATGCCCCTTCCATTTCATTCTTTCTTCCAATCCAAAAGTGTTACAAGCAACGCACAAGCCGTTCTTGATGTTCACTTGCGGTTCAAGGCATCTTGTTGTTTCAAGTATGTTGTCCGAACCAAAAAACAAACTACCAATGAGAGTTTGGCTGGTGTCGTCATTAAAACAAACATGTCAAAGTGAAAGGGCCTGCACACCCAGCTCATTCTCAAAAGCCCGGAGCGGGGAGGCTGTGTAGTTGGCCCAGTCACCCCACGCGCTTCCAGTCAGACCATCCTACATGGTATCGACATAAATTTTATGTGTGATTCAAAGTGTGAAAGAATGCCAGCGTCAGCATTGCGCGATTCTTGGTCATTAGCAAATTGGCAAAAGCATACGGACGCAATGTCCATTCTTGGTTCAACAAAACAACGTGCATCCCTTTTGAATGATCACCCCATGCCTACTCCACATCTGGACATCTAAATCAATTTGTGTTTGCACATTTCACTGAGACATGTGCCTGAAAGAACATCCCGATGATGGCCATCATCGCAAGGCGGCCATTGGCAAGTTCGGCTGAAAGTTTCTTGGTTTTCTCCTCAGGATCTGATGAAGTCAAGACCTTGAAGCCAAAGTCTCCAGCCGCAGCAGGCGTGCCAGGAGATTGATCCTGGGAAACCTCGCAGAATGCCATGTAGGCCAAGATCTGTCCCCAACCGGCAGCAGGCACCTTGGAGATTGCCGCAAGTCCGTTTGGCACGTCAGCAAATTTAAGTCCGGCTGATGGAGACAAATAGCCTGGAAGTTTTCCAGTGATCCTTGGTCGAATTCAATGAGACGTTCACAATAGCACTTTGTACAAACATCCAATGCACAAACAAGGGAAACGTTCACCAGGTTCCAAAGTCTTGTTGAAAACACAAACCATACACATACTCCAAAGTTGAAACTAGACGACGGTTGGCCCAAGAGCGAGAAAGGTGATTGTCAAGCAATTCCGAGTAAGGAAATAGTTAAAATCGAGTTGTCCAAGAGCCATGACTTCTTTATACAATTTGTTATTGAGTAAGAAGTTGCGAAGGGATTAGATTTAAAGTATTAAGTGAAGAGATATGTAGAAGGTGCCGATGTGTGATATAGATGCGCCGATGTGTGGGTGTGCGGAGGTAGAGAGGTAGATCTGCGGATGTGAGGGTGTGAAGATGTAAATGTACAGAGGTGAGGGTGTGTAGACGTAGATGCGCAGATGCACGGCAGCGCCACGTTGTGGGTCAGGGGCGCCATTTCTCGCTGGGCAAGTACAACGCTGAAGCGGTTCGACTCCAACATAGCACACCAGCGACACGCCGCGTTTACGCCTTCCCACCAAGCCCGCGCAAATCCGCATGGAGGAGCGAAATCACGGACGTCCTTGCACCACACGGTCTGCCCACACACTATAGAAGCCATCCTATATACCGCCAATCATCCTGCTCCTTAGCGATACACCGCGTTTGCACCAGCGTATTTCGCGCTCCCCTGTGGCACGGCGCCATGCAAACGCATTTTCGACCAAGGCCGCGTAAATCCGCGTGGCACTGCGACATCGGTCTGGCCACACACTAGAAGCAATCCTATCATACGATACCGCCAATCATCCCGCTCACCAGCGACACACCGCGTTTACACCAGCATGCTCCCCTGTGGCACGGCGCCACGCAAACGCACTTTCCACCAAGGCCGCGCAAATCCGCGTGGCACAGCGACACCACGAACGTAATTTCGCCACACGGTCTGCCCACACACTACAAGCAATCATATCCCGCGATACCGCCAATCATCCCGCTGACCAGCGACACACCGCGTTTACACCGCTTCCTCCAAAAGTGAAGCGCCAAGTCTCCAAAACGAGCGTTTCGTACGAGACTTCCTCCAAAAGTGAAGCGCCAAGTCTCCAAAACGAGCGTTTCGTACGAGACGTCCTCCACAAGTGAAGCGCCAAGTCTCCAAAACCAGCGTTTCGCACGCTTCCTCCAAAAGTGAAGCGCCAAGTCTCCAAAACGACTTTGCCGTGAGAGGTAGCAATTGACATGGTGCACTCTTCATTGTAGGGCCAAAAGCATCCGGTTGAACAGGGGGTAGACCGTCAGCGAATTTGTTAAAAACCTTATCCCAAGCGGCAGTGATGGCTGCAAAGATTTCAGCTTTATTGGCACTGGCTTCCCCGTGACTATTAAGGACAGCCCCACTGGAAACTTCCTGTCCTTTCTTAAGCCATTTATGCAAGTCATGCTTTGAGGTTTGCATACGCTGCTTCCAACTTTTGATGCGTGCTTTTCGTTCATCGTTTTGGATGGTTGCTATCAGGTTGCACATAGCCGTTAGAGTCTGTGGGCAAAGGTCTAATTTAGCGAGGCGGCGAACGTCATCAGTGTGTTGCACCTGTGCTTTGGTCAACGCGACCTGAGTTTGGAGGTTTTTCCATGTCAGGGTGGCACGATACCCGAAAAGTGTGAGTTGGTCGAGTTCTTTCAGCTGGCGCAAAAATTTTTGACCAGCGTACAGTCTCAAGTGTGGTCGCACTTTCATTATACTGTTTGGGGAAAACCCGTTGCCTACGGAATCGAATTTTGCCTTTGCCGGTCTTATAGGTCAACGCAGGAGACCCTGTTGATGCAAGAGGAATACTCAACAAACATTCTTCAGCGAGTTTAGACCATATGCTCCAAGCACTTTCAATCTGATCCTGCTGAAGTGCAGAGAAAACGGGCTGGAAATTACGAACAGGATGTGTCCTAGACTCAGGTGCTTTGGCAAATTCGCGTCGATAAGAACTAGTCTTGACGCAGTATTCATGTTGACAGGCAAGAGGGGTTTGGAGGTGGATGGTAACAATTTGATTATCTTTCTTTAAAATACCAGGTCGAACAGAATATGAACCATTTTTTGCTTTGAGGCAAGTGGGTGTCTGATCAGCACCTGCTGCATCAAACCACTGGCCAAAGGTCAGGGTGTCCTGAAGAGGCGCACATTCATTGACTTCAATGTTAAAATCAGCAAAGAGTAGAACAGGGAGGCTCAGTTTGGTAGCGGCAAACTCGAAGATGGCTGCGATAGCTTTATTATTCTCTTGGAGCAATTGTGGGCCCCAGCATGCACCAGCGTACCCGTAAAAACCTACCGCAATGAAACTGGTTCTGCCGTCTCCAACAAAGATTTGGGCTGCAGCAAGCCTACCTTCCTTGTGTAAAACCTTCAACGGGCCAGTAATAGGTCCTTCAAGGGTCGGTTCAAGCCGACTTACGTCAAGCTATAAAAGAGTAAACATGGACCAGAAGAGGTCGTCGTGGGAAGTTGACATACATAAGTAGCCGGAAGTAGGTTAGAAGTTAGAAGAGTAGTTGTGACTAAGAACAACCGGAAAAAATTGAAAAACATAAAACCTGCCAGATGCGCACTATTGCGTATAGGAAAAATGAGAGGAAACATTCAAAAAGAACAACAAACAAAAGGTGCAACAATGCGATTGCCGATACCGAGGGGGTGCCAAAGAATGTAGGGGACCGCCGGAGACAGGAGGGCCACACCACTAACCCCCAAGCCCATAAAAAACCACCTCAGTACCAAGTCACTGATGGGTTCGCCCCGGACCGGCCTAGCGTGGAGGCCTGCCACCGTGAGGTCGGGCCCTGCCATCCAGGCTCTAACGACGCGCGGCCGATCTGCTGCGGTCGCGTCCTTCTCTCTGTCTTAGCCATTTCACGCTGCGTCATTGGGACCCACAACTGTGGGCCCTAAATGCATATTGGCTCGGAGCTTTGGAACCAAGTGCGTAGTCACACAGTCATGGAAACGCAAGGTTTTTAGTCCAAAGCGGAGCCTGAGATCTATAAACTTCTCCCGTGGAAAATCATGCTGTACCGGAAAGAGGCCTACAATGCACTCAGGCTTCACCTTTAATCCGCTTGACCAGGTCTGGGTTCTCGAAGCAGTGCTCCAGGTGGGGATCAAGGTCCGCTAGCATCAGCTCAGCCAGCCGTTCTTTCAAGGGCCAGAATTTGTTTGGGGGCCACTCCTCCACTCCACTCCACTCCACTCCACTCCGCGCCGCGCCGCTCCACTCCACTCCACTCCACTCCACTCCACTCCAGCTCCTGCCTGTCTTGCTTCGTTGACCTCTGTCCCTGCGCAACAGCAGCTTGCCGACCTGCCTTCTTTTGCACAACTTCTGGCCGCCGTGTCTCAACTGCGTGGTGGCAAAGCTCATGGGCCCGACGGAGTGCAACCAGAACTCATCCAGGCCTTAAACCTGGTGAATTTGCGGGCCCTCCAACTGGAAGGCCAATTATCTGGTTCCGCTTCCTAAATCCGGCTACTTGACCAACTGCGAAAGGCCTTTTGGCGGCTTGCGTGTGGACTCTCTCTCCATACCAAACTGCGGGTCTATAGGTCTTGCGTTCTTTCGGTTCTCTTGTATGGGGCTGAGTCTTGGACAACCGACTTGCATGACATTCGTGGCACTTTTGCTGGATTTTCGTGAAGCCTTCCAGGCGGAAACGCGTGACTTTTTCCATGTCTTGCTTCCAGTCTTCCAGCTTAGACACTCGGTCTTCCAAGTTCAACTTCGGGGCCATCGTACCAAGGAAGCGATTTGGGAAAAACAGGCTGAGTACTTAGTAGGCTTGCTCGCTGGATGCTACGGTCAGAGCAGTTGGAGGCACAAACAACAACTTTAAAACGAGTTTTGCCCCTCCGCGCCGAGGAGGGTCCTGGGAAGACACCTGCAAAGTAGTGGCCAAGCGTGGACAATCAAAGAGCATCCTCCACTCGCCAGTGCGGACCCATTCGGTTGAGAAAACTTGATGTAGAAAAAGAAAAATGGACGTTGCACTGAACATAAAAAGCAGCGCACGGCGAAAAAACAAAGTGAGTGTCAGCCGCAAGCGGCGGCAACAGGGATGCAAACAGCCCTGCTGGTCGTCGTCGTCGTCGTCGTCGTCCTCGTCCTCCTCGTCCTCCTTGTCCTCCTCCTCCTCCTCCTCCTCCTCCCTCCTCGTCGTCGTCGTCGTCGCCGTCGCCGTCGCCGTCGCCGTTGCCGTCGCCGGCCAGCTTTTGCTTGAGCTGCCAGAAGTCACGGGACTCTGAGGCTTCAATGCAAAGCCCTAGGACTTTGGGGGTATTCTCCAGTCGGACCCGAGTCACTACATTCACATCGTTCCTGAATTCCTCCAACTGGTTCAGACGTTGTGTTCCACGGTCATCACTTTCGGTGCCATCTTGCGGGTGGAACACTTACAAGACAGGGGGTCTCTTGAGCGTAAGGCTGGCTAGCAGCATGTAACCCGCAGTTCCCTAGGTGAAGGGGAGTGGATCGTTTGTGAACACAATTTGGCCCATGCTCCGACGGGTGTCCTGAGCAGCATGCGCACCGAAACTTGTACGGAGAGACGCAGCATCGTCCTGCGTTTCGTGTTTCTGTTGAGAACAACACTCGTCTCTCCCAACGTGTGGCACAGAAAAGTGATAATCCTGTGAGGTGTGGGTTGAGAAGGGAAAAAATCAAATAAACTAAAATCTGTAAAAAGCAGAATGACCTCAGAGTAGAGTCTGACTCAATAGAGGTAGGTGTCATGTTTCGTATCCCGCAGCGGTCCCAGTACAATGACTATCCTGAACTTTAAAGAAAAAATCAGGAAACGCGCAGTCTGTTTACGGCACAAGGCTGAGAACCCACAAAACTTAACGATAGAATAAAGCAGCTACCATGGCATAAAGTGGGTCAAAGCAGAAATCTCCCCAAGGGCGTCAATAAACAACATTTTGCCCGGTCGCCGATGGAACGACGGGAGAGTAGACAGACATCCTTTTTGGGACAGCAGCAAGGAAAGAATGGAAACAAGCAACAGGGCAAACGGGTCCGGTCACCGTGGGACAAAAGTGGGAAGCGGCTCAGGGTGGGGAGGGCAAATGGACGGAGAGAGGGAGGCACAGGAGACAGACCGACTAAGAAAGCAAGAGGGGCAAGGACGAGGGAGACAAGCAGGAAGAGGGCGGCGGTCCTGAATAACTGGAAGGAGTATGTGGTTGGCTCGCCGAAAGAGCCACGGCAGATGTCTTCGTGTTTGACTCTAGCCGCGACAGTCTGGTGGGTGGAGGAGCATTTTTGACAGGCGCGGTTGGCCTTGACACTACCGCGACACACAGCAGAGTGTTGATCCTTGGAGGAAACAGCGCACCTGGAAGAGCCCTGCTGCTCAAGGTCGAGGTCTGCGGTGGCGCTCTGGAAAGAGCCCGTGAGTCTCCTATAAAGCAGCGGCAGGTGAAAGAGAACCATCCCTCGCTGCCAGCGGTGGCCCGAAAGCAAACACGCACGTAACTGGGGGGGGGTGGGCGACGGCGTACACCGCGGATGCAAAGCCACGAGCCAAGGGACGCAGGCCGGGTAACACGCAGTCATAAACAGCAACAGGAGACTACGGCGAGCGCTCGCACTTTTTGGAGAAACTGACAACGTCAGAGTAGCTGGAAAATGGGAGGCCGCAAGACACTCAGCGTCGGCGACCGTCGGGACGGTCCGCGCGCATGCTCACGAGAGGCAGCGCGTGGGCTGGCCTTGCGCTTTCGGCGCCTTGACATTTCTCCAAAACTTATACTTGACTAAGTCAGTAGCCCTAGACCAATCAAGCCAGGTTTCCACTTGATATCCAGGGCTACATGCTCTCCCCACTTGCCCTACGGGAAAGACACCCTGTAGCGCTGGCGGCGGTGTACCGAGGACCTCTTTGAGCTCCCCCAAGACGCGGCGTCGAAGGATTCTCTTCCAGCGCCGCTGTCGGTGCTGGCGTCAAAACTACTCCCCCTGCTGCCGGTGGCACTGCTGGCTAACTTGTTCGTGTCTGGAAAAACAGCCTGCAGGGGACCTTCTAAATCTTTCAAGACAAGCGTCAAAAGCTCGTCTTTCAGGACCCAAAATTTACGGTCTCCGTTAAAAATCTCCAAGTGCCGTTTCTCCAAGGTCGGGCATCCGGACAAGCGGATGCGGTAGCAAGCTAGCATGTCAGACTGGAGCTCTTCGAGGCGTGCAACTCGGGTCTCAAGAGTCTGTGGGGAAGCGGTCATTGCAAGTTCGCGGGCTAGCAAGTGTACGGCCGTGGGGACTGGTAGTGCTTGAATCCAAACTGCTCGCGAATCGGAAGTTTATTTCCTTTTTTCAAAACTAAAACATCGACAACGTCCATGTCAGCAGGGTATTTGTGGACTACATGGGGGCCCCATTTGCTGGTCGACAAGTAACGGGCTAGTTTTGGCCTCCTGCGGCAGTCCTGAGTGTATGAAGCGCAGCCAGTGCCCATAGGCCAAAGTAGGTCCTTCAAGGGTCATAACGAATAAACACAGGTTGCATCCGACTCACGACAAGTTATTAAAAAGAAAAACGAGAACCCGAAGAGGGCGTCGGGGGTAGTGAAAGATCTATAAGGAACCGAAGGTGGGTCAGTAGTAGGTGGCACTAAGAACAATCAGAAAAATTTAGAACCTGCCAGAAGGGAATTCTCAATTAGGGAAGAGGAAAAAAAGTACAAAAAAGGCGTAACTATTAAGTACCGATGTTGTGGGGGCGCCAATAAAGTACCACGTGAGACAGGAAGGCCTCACTCACCACAAATCTCCAAGCGGGGGCTGGCGTGGAGCTTAAGGACTGATCCGAGGAACTACCAAAAAATAGAAAACAAAACATTCTCCAAGGCTTCCGTCTCCGTGACATTTCCCCAGCGCCCAAGAAGGGGACCCAGACTTAGGGTTCAGAAGAGGCAACACAAAGCTTCGGTCCAATCAACAGGTCAGTGGCCGTGAGACCGATCAAGCCGGGCTTCCACTTGAAGGACGCGCGCTCTCCCCATTTGTCCCCAATTGGGCCATGGAGCGCTGGTGGAGTTCCGAGGGACTCCTTATAAGTTCTCCTGACCCTAAGCTTACCAGTTGCAAGCATACTAGTACTACTGACCCTAAGCTTCGGCACAAGGTGCATGGCGGTACAGACGTAGAAACTCAGGGCACCACAAAAGGAAGAGAAAGGAGGCAGAAGGGGGGAAGGCAGCGGGGCATGTATAGGGAAGACAGACGTGGGGCTGGACGGAAAAGGCGAGGGTGGCCCTGCCGGTGCGAGCACCCACTGCTCTCCTGCGAGCAGGACCAGAGCCCCTGAAACAGGGGGCAAGAGTACCCAAACACAGGCCCACGGTCTCCTGCGAGCAGGACCGTGGGCTAGCGCTTACAGGATTTTTCGTGTGGAATGCGACTGGATATACCATTACAGCGCTTTTTACAACGTAGGCAGGTGAGGTTGGCCTCGAGTGAGCCACGGCACGGTGTTTGAGTCGAGCGTCAATGGTTTGCGAAGTTGCGGAACAGAGAGAGCCGCGTCGGAAGAGGAGGCAGGAGCGCAGGCTTGGCGGTGTTGAAGAATCATCTCGTCGGAGGTAGATGGCGAGAAGGACACGTCACAGGTGGGGCAGACGCGAGTCAGTGTCTCAGAGCCTCGACAGATTTTTTCGTGCGTGTGTCTAAATTCTCTGGCATGACGGGCCTGTTTGCGCTTACCTTCCGCAAAGCGCCATTCGAAGGACCCGGCCACAGCCTCGGCGACAAGGGATGGAAGCAGGCGGCGCACCTGGGACCTTGCAGTAGGCCTCGTGACCGGCGAGCTGCCGGGCGTGGGAGGGGCCGGTGTAAACCTTACCGCATCGCCAACAGTGGTCGGTGAGCAGGGGATCACAAGGTGCCGGAGAACCGACAGGCAGTAACCATCGAGGGGAGTGTCGGGTTTGTTCACCTGCTTGACCCTTGTCAGCCAAGGCATCAGCATAGTCGTTACCCGGGCGCCTGAGTGGCCCTTAACCTTACACCACTGTATGACGGGGAGAGCGGAAAGACGGCGATAAATGTCGATAGCAGTGGTAGCAAGTTCCTCGCTAGCCGCAGGGGCAGCGATACCAGTGATTATGTCATGGGCGTAAGTGGAATCGAACCAAATGGTAGCAGGCGCATTCGCGGGGCCAGGAGCTTCCTTGTCTAACCAGAGGAGGGCTTCCACGACTGCTGTTAGTTCCCCCGTATTATTGGAGGCAGTCCGTGCACCAAGCCAGCGGGCGTCCCATTCGGCAACTCGAAGTTGGGGAGGTCAGAAGAGAGACAGCCTTCCCAAAATTGCCACGCCCCAACCTGCATCCGGATGACTTTCGTCTGGCCCAGCACCGTCGGTACAGAAGCAGGCGGCGCCGAAGAAGGTATCAAAGCCGGGATGACAGGAATATCATCCACTGTCCGAGGGATGACAGGACACTGGTGACGGCGGGCTTCTCGCGCATGGAGTGGAAGACAGTGGTGAAAGGAGGGTCCTGAGGGGCGTGGAGGTTGTCTGGAGGGCCTCAAGCGCCCACATATAAGGACACGCCGGGATGGCCAAGATGGAGGGACACGCGTCTCCTCGGCGTCGGAAAAAGGATCCACATGTGGGGAGACGCGGCATCGGTGAGCATGGCAGCAGGGTCAGGGGGCAGGGGCAGCCCCGGCCGCCAGCTGTTGATCAAGCGGTCGTCGTCACGGGACGGGCCTTGGGCGGGGTAAGAGGGAGTTGACCAGCAAGACTTTTGAGCGCTTTGTGTAACTTTAGTTTCCGAAACAAGCATCACTTCACATTGTAGGCGTAAAGCGATGATTTTGTGAATTTGACTTTGACAAGCTTCAACATTGGCACAACAACCCAGCGCTCACGCTGGCGAGCGTGAGGGTGGGAAATCACAGCGGTGTTTGGCAGAATCCGTCTCTCTTGAGACGGTTGGCTTTGGCTGGATTTGCGTGTCATCTAGATACCCCCGTTCACGGCACTCCGGTGCGGAGTGCCCTGCCACGTGCGTCGGGGAGTGCGAGACTTGGACTTTGCACCGTCGGGAGAGGCAGCAGGCTGGACAATCTTCGGCGAGTGAGGAGGAGACATCGGCACATTAGCCGGCTCCCTTGACTCAGATTGCTTCTGCACCATGTTCTCGACAGAGGCAACCATGGCCTGCATCTGTAACATCATGGACTTCATGCTGGACAGAACTTCAGCGGGGTTGTGGTCAGGAGCCGGTTCTGGCGTCTTGACAACAACCTCCGGGACAACCACGGGTGCAACGACAGAGTGCTGCGTTATATCCTTGCGGCTGCTTGCAGGAGCCTTGCGACTCTTTGGCCGAATCTCCAACATGCGGGTGTTTCCACTTGCATCAACTAAAATCTCCGTGACAGGTTCCGGCGGATCTTGCTCCGCCGCCACTGTCCACGTTCGTGTGCCATTGACCACTTTGCTAAAAAGTGGCCGAATCTTCCACTTTGCAGATAAAGCCAATCGAACATCCTCCTTTGAGATTGCACCGATGGGCGAATTCAAAACTTCCCAGTTGCCAGTCACTTGCAATCCGTCCGCGATATGGTCAGGACGAAGCACCTTGCGAGTGGCATCTTCAGCCGACTTGAGGACTCGTACTCCGCGGCTTCGCGCGGTCCTGGCGAGTCCGAACACTGTGTCTGGAGCAAGCTTTGCTGCCTGCTGGAGTGCTTCCTTGCAACCGTTACCCTTTGGCAACCAAATCACACTATGATCCGTCACGGAGTCTCTCGTTCTCATCTCTTGAAAGAAAACGCCAGAGGGACCGGACATCTTCAAATACTTGGACAACTCGGAGGTGTGAATGCGCACCATTGCTTGGAGAACCTTTCTACCTGCCGATTCATGCACGAAGGTAGGACGCAACCAGACGTCCACAGGCGCTTGCAAACCGAGGTCTGCGATCAGGCGCCGGATCACGTCTTTGATTGCCGGTTTGTTGGCTGAGTCGTCACCCTCAGTTTTGCCGAGCACTGCACGGAGCTTCTTCCAAAGTGTTGGACCTTCAACGGCTTCAATCTCGCACACCAAGGAAGTAGTCTCAACGGACTGCTTCAGCACAGCACAGTGTTGATCAACAACACGAGTCACATCACCACTGCCAAGCTGGTACAAGAAGCCACTCTTTGGGGTAATCTTGTCTCCGTCCTGACATGTGAAGCTGACCTTGACGCAACGAGTGCTAGAGGCACCCTCTAGTGGCTTCTCAGTGATCATAGCCAATGGCTGAGAAGACTGAACCATGGCCATCTTACGCTCTGCTTCAGTGTTGTCAACTAAGGCCACACCTGTGCTATTGGAGACCAACTGCGTTGCAGACACAGGGGGCACATTCCACTCACGACTGCGAAGAACGAACTCGTCAAAAGGTTTCCGAGCCTTTTTGTGAGAGACAACCTGCCAAGCATCTTCTTTGGTGGCACGGACAAAAACATCAGACTTCGAGGCTGTTGCTGTGTCCGTTGGTGGCACAGAGCCTTTGGCTTTTTGTAAAGCAGCATGCTTCAACTGAAGTGAGTCTCTAAGTTTTCTGACGACGACAAGACCAAGTTCGTGACGAAGGACGTCATACAGCGCAGCCCCTGATAACTCAGGAATAAAGGCCTCGAACAAGGCTTTGACTTCTCGAGGACTGTCAACATTGCTTACGGAGTTGCCGTGCATCGAGTGCATAAGGCGATTTCGTGTGTGGGCATCAATATGCCAAAAGGCAACTGGGCCGCACAGAACGATTGTGTAAACAAAGAGGCTGAATCTCTCTGCCGTGGAGCATTTCGCATTGCCGCCCAGGGGCAATGACACTATAATCGAGGCAAGAACCAGAAGGTATGCTCCCATACAGCCATCCGCAGTGAAACCAGCAGGATCCCAAAAGTAGTAGGGTCGTGTCAGAACGGTGGAACTGCAGTACCACCGCTCAAAAGGATGACCTGAATCTAGCCAATGCCCTGCCTAGGAAAGGAAGAACCCAACGGCAAATCAGCAGGGCGCGATGAGGTAGAAGTATTCAGAATTCCATGCAGAAACAGATGTCTTAGACATCAAACGGCGTTTCTTCGAAGACGTAGAGGACGATGAGGTTGTAGTCACTGGCCTGGGAAAATTCGATACACTTTCAGTCTGAGTTGGAGCACCTTGAGAGCTCTTCTGCTGCAAGATCTCAGTGACCCAATCAGGAGCTGAAGGAGGTGGTCGCACTGCGCGACAAACAGTTTTGGGAAGATTCTGAACACGATATCTCCATGCGAAGGTTCGGCCACAAACTCGACACCAAAGTTTGCCAAAGTGCTTTGGATCCTGAGTATTCCGGCCTGTCTGCCGGTTCCATATTATATGATGTTTGGGTCTAGCATTGTATTTCTCATTCAATATTCGTTCTTGTTCATCAAGGCGGGCAGTAGAATGTATGTTCCCAGGTGTGGTCATCCAAGAATGCTGTGGCAGATCAGGAAATGGACAAGGTCGCTTGAGTATCCGCAGGCTGATGTGTTTGAGGCGAGCAGTTGTTTTGCCACATTTGACACAAAAGGCCCCAGTTCCATAATGCTGGATGCGATGACCTCGTTGTTCGTGAACCGTGGTGGAAAGAGTATCAGCACCTTGTGGAACATCAGTGTTAGGGTCTTGACCACTTGAAGTGGGACCAGAAGAACCAACACCAGACGATGCGTGGGCCGTGTGAGAACTCGGCTGATCATCGTCGGGAGAATCTGGAGCATCAACATCACCATCATGCCATTCTTGAATGTG